ATCTTCTACCGAAGCAGAATATCGTGCTATGTCCGAAGTTAGCTCTGAGATGGTATGGCTACGACGGCTCCTATCCGATTTTGGGGTTTCCTGTCCTGCTCCTATGGATCTTTTTGTTGACAACACCAGTGCCATTCGTATTGCTGCTAATCCGGTCCTTCATGACCGAACTAAACACATCGAGATACATGTGCACTATGTTCGAGATCTCGTTCGAGATGGCACGATTAGTCTACATCACCTCCCTACAGAAGAACAAGTTGCAGACCTATTCACCAAGGCATTTTCTACTAGTCGTCATTGGTATCTGGGAAACAAATTGATGCTAAGAGATCGACATCAATTTGGGGGAGGGTGTTAGCGTACTCAGGGCCTAGGCTGCGGATTATGTTGTGGTGATTAGCCCATTCATTAATTAGGCCCATGCCCATGCAAGGTTAGGACGTGCAGTGTTGATCCTAAACCTAGGGCTTTCTTTGATATATAAGGGTTAGGAGAAGTACTGCCGCTGTAACATGTATGATCTTCTCATCACAGTAAAATCAGTAGCCTGAAGAGCATTCCAAGCTCTTCCGTGGATTAGTCCTGGATCACATCCAGGGATACCACGTAAACTCCGGTGTTCGTGTTCATTTACTTTTCCGAATAGTATTAGTCTGCTTCTGTGATTGTTAACAGTTCTGCAGATATTGTTACTGATGTAGGCGGCGGAGCCTAGCTTCGGGTGTGTTTCGCCGCCTCGCTGCGTCCTTGCCGGGATCTGCTTCAGGTTCTGCTGGGTCTTGTACTTGGAGATCGTTTGGGTCTCTGGGAGGGCTTTGATTGTGGCCTGGACACACTATTAATATTAACTACCCTAAACTTAATGAGATCGAAGCAAAGAAGCAATCTATTGAAAGCAATTAGTGTTAGAGAATGGTATAAGATCCAGCATAACCCTCTCTCAACAACTCGAGTTATTGGGGCCAACTTGTTTATGACATGGTATCAGAGCCTAGAACCGAAAGGTCACGTGTTCGAATCTCTACCGTTGTCTTTCGAGCACAAGGTATGATGGGCATGTGCAAACTTTAAGCTCATGAGTTGGCTTTCGTTTGAGGGGCGTGTTGGAGAGTGGTATAACATCCAGCATAACGCTCTCCCAACAACTCGAGTTATTGAGCTATTGGAAAGCAAGAAAAAAGTACACAAAACAACATCAACAACGAAAATACATTGAAATAAAGAGCCGTATGTATACAATTGAAGCAGAAGAAATCGTTTCAAAATTAAAAGAATTAACAAAAGAAACAGAATACAAATAAAACCACTCAGCCTTAGATGCCACTAATCCCCAGAACAATAACCAAACAAACCAACTGGACAAGAAGGCGCAGCCGTCCCGACTCAACCCGAACAAATCATGAGGAACATAAACTAATTAACTACATATAGCTAGAGAAATCCATATCATGAACAAATCATCAGTAACAGTATGATATGACCTCAACCGTAACAAATTGGTAGCCATGCAAACTACAAGGGATTGGGTGATTTCGCCATTTGGAATTGTTTGTGGTCTTATTTATATTTGAGAACTATGGGGTATTATTCAGGGGTTTTCGGGTGCATTTGAGGATTATTCGGATTATTTGGGATAAGGATAATAATTGGGGTAGTTAGCAGGAATTATTCGGGTTATATATTCTGTAATTAGTGGATTGCTCATTAAGCAAATACATAACCAAATTCCCAGAAACCCTAATCTACTCTCTCTCTCTCTCTCTCTCTCTCTCTCTCTCTCTCTCTCTCTCTCTCTCTCTCTCTCTCTCTCTCTCTCTCTCTCTCTCTCTCTCTCTCTCTCTCTCTCTCTCTCTCTCTCTCTCTCTCTCTCTCTCTCTCTCTCTCTCTCTCTCTCTCTCTCTCTCTCTCTCTCTCTCTCTCTGCGGCACCCTTCCCCTCGTCCACCATCATCTCATCGGCCACCCTTGGCCGTCGACCCCTCTTCTTCTTCTTCTTCTTTCCCACCCCACTCAAACTTCCTCCATCAATCTTCCCCAATTCCCTTTCCCGCTATCGTTCCTAATCATATCACCCTAGCTGCAAGATGCCTAGATCCACAGGTTTCTTACACACATGCAAAAGGTTGATGCTGGAAATTAATAATGAAAGCCTAGGTTTGAGTTACTATTCATTAGTGACTCTCACACTCCTCTAAGTGCAAGTGGGGAAGTTCCAAGTCCTTATTTTACCCCACTCTCCATTCTACAACCTTTGTGTTTAGTTATTGTTCTCTAGGTTTTCGTCTATGGCTTTTTGAACAAATATGGGTTTTTTCACAATCATTAATATATTAATATTAATATATAAATTCATATTAATTAATTAATACATAAAAGCCTAGGTTTGAGTTACTATTTATTAGTGGCTATCACACTCCTCCAAGTGCAAGTGGGGAAGTTCCAAGTCCTTCTTTTACCCCACTCTCCATTCTACAACCTTTGTGTTTAGTTATTATTAGCTAGGTTTTCGTATATGGCTTTTTGCACAAATCATCTCCTTTGTGTTTTGGTATTTTTCATTAGGTTTTCGTATATGGTTTTTTGCACAATCGTCGTCTTTGTGTATAGTTATTGTTCGCTAGGTTTTCATCTATGGCTTTTTGCACAAATCATCGCCTTTGCCCACCATTTTGCAGCCCATCTCGAAATACTATCGACGAAATCCTAAGTTGTTCCCCACCACCGTTTTCAAATGCCGCTACCACGATTTTTGTATCGGGACCGAGTTTCATCCTCTTTAGTGTTTTTTTTCTTTATTTATTGCCTTTTTGTTAAACATGATCACAATTGAACCCAAACACATGGGTATCCTAACTTGAACACAAATTAATTCCTTTGCCCGCCATTTTTCGCAGCCCATCTCGAAATACTGTCGACGGAATCCTAAGTTGTTCCCCATCATCTTTTCCCAAGGCCGCTACGAAGAGTTTTGTATTTAGACCGAGTTTCGTCCTCTTTAGTGTTTTGTTATTGTTCGCTAGGTTTTCGTCTATGACTTTTGCACAAATCATAGCATTGGCCCACCATTTTGCAGCCCATCTTGAAATACTGTCGACGAAATCCTAAGTTGTTCCCCACCATCCTTTCCCAAGGCCGCTACCACAAATTTTGTATCAAGACCGAGTTTCATCATCTTTAGTGTTTTTTTCTCTTTTTTTCCTTTTTATTGAGCATTATCATAATTGAACCCAAATCCATGGGTATCCAACCTAATTCGATCCAGCCAAAGCGACTTGAAACCGACTTTAGCATTTATAAATTTCTTTTTTCTTCTTCTTTTGGTTGGGAAGACAATTGAACCCGAATCTAAGGTTTTGACGAGTGTTGTATTGTGAGCGAGCTTTATCCGCTTTTGTAGTTGGTAGGTTGGACCAATTGTTAATTTGTTAAAAAATTATTCAAAGCGAGTTGAACACGATGTTGACAAGCTTTGGATCGAAAACGAGTTTTGTACGCTTTACTTTTTTTTATTTCTCATTTTCCTTTTCGTTGAGAATGGTAATTGAACTCTGACCCATCGTTGTCACGTTTTGTATCCCGAGCAAGTTTTATCAACTTTTGTAATTGACAGATTGGGTAAATTGTGAATTAGTTAAAACTGGGTCAACCCGGTCAAAGCGAGTTGAAAGCAAGTGTTGAGAGTTTGGGGTCATGAACGAGTTTTATCCGCTTTAGTATTTTTTTTAACATTCTCCTTTTCGTTGAGAATGACAATTGAATTCAAACGCATTGGAATACAACCTAATTCGACCCGACCAAAGCAACTTGAACCCGATTTTACAGGTTTTCGGTGGGAGCGAGTTTTATTTTTTTTTTGTAATTGTCGTGTTGTGTCAGGTGTGAGTTTTTCCATAACTCGGTCCAACCAGGTCAAAGCGAGTTGAACTTGGTGTTGACGAGTTTTGAGTCGGTAGCGAGTTTTAGCTTTAGTGTTTTCATTTCACTTTTTTCTTTTGTTTGAGAAAGACAATTGAACCCAAATCCATGGGTATCTAACCTAATTTGACCCGATCAATACGAGTTGAACCTCCTCAAACCAGCAATCAGTCCAAAAAATTTATAAAGGAGAACCACGATTACCTCAAACTCTAAAAGAAAGAAAGTCATAGAAATTGAAACATTAGTATCATGAAAGAAGTTTAAAAATTAATAATCTATTCAATGACCTCTTTACCTTACGCAAAGTCCATCGATTATATGCTATTGTAAATAACAAATCTATGAAAAGAATGAATAGCAATGAAATAAGATGACTTTCACTTTTTGATCAACATTAAAATTATTACTTTTTAAAATATTTATCTTTGTGATACACGAAGCAATAGCGAACGGGCTTTTGCTAGTAACAATGTAACAAATAGAAACGGCAACAGAACGCACAATGACGATAAATTAAACCGACAAAGCGTAGACTGCTCGAAGTGAAATAGATAAGCAGGTTGGTGTTGTTGACGATGGAGAATGCCCGAGCAAGGAAGAAAGCGGCGGCTGAATATTGCGGCCGGAACTGGATCCTCTTCCCTCAAAACGTCGCGGGCAGGACCGCAAATCTAACGAACTAAGACGGGAGGCGGCCGGAGAGGGGGAAAGGGAAGAAAGCAATTAAACTCATCCTTAAACATTGGCGAAATCAACAAAATGACTTCGTTTCCAAAAACGAGAATTTACGTTGTCAAAAAAGAAAAAAAAACAGAATTTACTAGTGAAATTAGCCCTTACCCTAGAGTCTAATTTATTTATTTTGTCAACTAGCATTCAGGCTCGGTGGGAGGAAGGAAATACGTATAGTCAACTTTATGACCACTAATTGGCTGCCACGTAGATCCACCCCCCAGTGCCGGCCTGCAGGCCAACAAAAACACTCCTCCATCGCTACCAGTTGGCTTCTTTTTTTTCTTCTTCTTCTCTCTCTCCCCCGCAAAAGGATAAGCAGCAATAATGGAGGCGGCCACTCTGTCGATGGCCTTCACTCCCTTCCGCCGCCACCTACGGCCTCTCCCCCGCCGTCCAATTCATGCATCTGGCCGCCCGAATCAGACCTCACCACTACCGATTTCCTCCACCGACGGGTCGCGGCCGCTGCATCTTCTCCACCATCCCCCCCGCTGTGCTCTGCTGTCCGGTCATGAAAAATCCACTAAGGAAGAAAAGGACGGTGGCGAACATCACCCCCGCCGCCCGGGGTTCGACGTTTTCTTGAGCTTCCACGGTCACGACGTCCGCCATAGGATCGTCGACCACCTCTACGCGGCTCTGCTCAGAAAAGGGATCAAGCCGTTCAAAGACGACACGGAAATGGAAAGGGGACTGGACGTGGAGGAGGCCATCTCGACGGCGATCCAAGACTCGAGCATCTACTTGCTCCTCCTCTCCCCCGGCTACGCTTCGTCGGCTTTTTGTATGGACGAGGCGGTTGAGATTATGCAACGCTGCTGCTGCGGTGGCGGTGGGGGGAGAGTAGCCCTGCCGGTGTTTTACTTGGTATCGCCGGACGACGTCTGCCTCCCGACCGCCGGCTGCTTCAAGGAACACTTCCTTTCCCACTTTGATGAATTCACTTACGGCCGGGTTCAGGGATGGATGGATGCCTTCTCCTCGATTGGAAAAATTAGTGGATGGGTGCATGAGAATGGCAGGTAATTATTAGTTAACTTAACTACTACTGGTGTTAATTACGTTTTTGGAGGATGTTAGTTACGTACAATTTTGCGGATCACACATGTAAATCCTTTGGCTCGCCAGTTATTAGGGTTTGGATTGTTTCCCTAGCTAATTCAAGTTTATGGTTAGTTAACCCTAGCTACCCGCTGCCCCTAATTCAAGTTGAGGGTAGTTAAACTTCTTTGAATCAAAATGATTTAAAGTACTCTGAGTGATTAGCTTATTCTCACTCTTGTTCAGCTAGCAGGACTAAGATTTAAGAAGATGTGGCGGTCTGGTCCTAACTTAAGGAAACTAACTTTCTGATAGATAGAATTGATTTGGTGAATGCATGCATGCAGATCAGAAGCTTTGCTCGTCGAGGAGGTTTCCACGACGATCCAAAAACTGGTCCTGGAAATGAGGGGCATTGGGCATGATCACTTTACTAAATATTCCCCACCGCCGCCGCTGTCGTGGATGCAGCTAGCTTCTTCTACAAGTGCTCGCAATGACCAACATATGGTACTAGCTCTAGCCCTAACCCTAACCCTATAAGTTAGTTCCATATCGAACCCTAGCTATATCTTAAACTTGACTCCCGTATTATGCATGAATGCATGCAACGATCCTATATTATCCATTAAACTTAACAAAGTATTAAATAATGTTAATTATCCATTATGAGCTAGTTTATAATTTACTCGATCGTCTAGCTCTAGCTCTCAAATCTATATTTACAGGAGCTGGAGTATTTTGAGCCACAAGTGATCTCATCAACACAAGGCAATGACAGGATCGTGAGGATCCCCAAACCCGATCACGCCGTGGGAAATCATCACTGCCACTCGCTCCAGCTGTGTTTGGTGGCACAGCACTACTCACGCCCCGGTGCCGGCCAGCTTGACTTAACGATGAGCAGCATCACCGCCGTTGCCACTGAAGCAAGAAGCTTGTGGAAGGATGAAAACATCCACGTGGAACCCCTCGATGCTGCTGCTACTATTACTTGCACTGATAACATTAATGGCTACATCATCCGATTTCTCAACGAAGACACTCGAAACTGGGTGCTTGAGTCCTCTCCTTGGCTCATCGACGGCACCCACTTCTTCATGAGGAAATGGAAAGGAACGTTGGAGCCATCTCCATCGTCGTCGTCGACGCAGCTGTCGATTCCGATGTGGGTGAGGCTGTACAACGTTCCGGAGGAGTATATGAACCCCAAAGGGCTGAGCTACATAGCCAGCGCTCTCGGGAAGCCCATGTACGTCGACCGGGCCACCGCTGATTGTTGTTACAATAATCACAGCAGCGGGTCCCGTGGTAAGACTCCGGCATATGCCAAAGTCTGCGTGGAGATCAGCCCCAAGGATCAAGGCATCGACACTTTTATGCCGGCGGCCGAGAGAACGATGGTGATTGCTATTGGCGACGAGAAGGAGAATATGGTGATCGTCAACGCCGTCTACCAGCTGGAAGAAGATGGCCAGTGGGACTAATATTCAAGCTATATGTGTTTATATGTGTGTTGTATGCATTGGGTCGACTGCTTCAGCTGGACTACGATTAAGTATGTTGGATATGTGTTTATATGTGTGTGGACTGTGGTATTACGTACGTATACAATCTAGCTAGGTTTTCTTCGCTCAATTAGCTTGCCATTTAGGCTAGCTATGTGCATTATTTGTAATACGGATAGATATATACGATGGTTGACTGTCTCTCCTTATTATGTTCATCATCTCTTTCATTAGTCATGAAGAAATTATCTATAGGGGGTTATACGGAAGGAGAGTGAACTAATTACCAGTACTTATCCTAATCTTTTACTCTCCACAACCCCCTATTTGTATCTAATTAAACACTCAAATGTATTCTTCTTTATTTGGTGGTTTGCTTCTGTCAATTTGTCAATTAGGTCTTCTTTTGATAATACTTACTAGTTTCACAATTTCAGGTAGATTTATTAACAGCACACACTGACTAGCTCTCAGTAATTAAAGCGCCTGGTACCGACAAATGCACAGGTATGCATGCATGGTACGTGGAGAAGTAATATATATATAGTCCAACGAAAATGATTGTTACTAACATTGAAGAGCTTCTGCATAGGGGGTGTGTAACGGTTCGGTAAAGTTTGGACCGGACCAAACTCATAAGAATCGCGGTCTATTAGTGAAAGATATTTTAGGATCAAGGATCGGATCATTATTGTATTTGGTCCAATTGGTCCGGTTCGGTCCGGTCGAAATATCAGCTCGATCCATCATTTGTTATGTAATTATAAAATTCATGTGGATCAAGGACCGAACCGCATTATATTCGATTCGGTATGGTCTGATCTAAACTTCGGTTTGGTCCGGTACGGTCCGGACCATTTCACACCCGCCTCTGTTGTCATCTACCAGCGCACTTTATGAGCCATCATCTTCCAAAAAAATAAAAATCTACTAGCAAAACATTGACATTGAGTTCCTGGTTAACATTTAATTGTTAAAAATACCTAATTAATTAACAAGCTTGAGGAACGCCTCTCTTGTAAGAATGGATCCATTCTTAAGTTGCCATCCTAACTAGTTTGAGCTTCCCAAGTCAAGTCTGTGATGATATTGAGGTTTAGGGTGAAGTAATTTGCTCCTAGTAGACTAGTAAGAGGGTTTCTAAACTTTCTATGCCTGCTTGCAGCACAGTAAAGAAATTGTAAGAAGTGATCGATTGGTTTTGGACTTTTTTTGGTGAAATTTGTTTTTTTGGTGAAATTTTTTACAATTTTTTGTGATTGAAATCAACTGAATCTTTAACATGATGAGAGCTATGCCCCTGATTTTTTCACATAAGACTGCCTCAAACCCTCTTTCGAGTTTTTCGTTTTTTTTTCTTTAATTGTTCTTTCACTATTTGTAAATTTCCTCCCACATAAATTATGAATGGTGATTCGAAAAGCTTTGAATTTCTTTTTCTTTTTCTATACTTATTATTGCCTTCAAGTAGTATTATGTTTCATTACTACATATTTTTTACAATGATTATCAGATACCTATCTTTTAAAGAAAAATTCTAACAAATTATTCCCAAGGACTTTTATTAGATTTTTAGGCTGAGTGCAATTTCATCTTGTTAAACTTTTTCCAATAGCTCTAACTCGTAGTAGGAATTGATTGTCAGATTCATAGATAGACGATGCTCGTGCATAAGTCATTAGCTCACGAGTCACGATATTAATTAATAGTTGATTCAATACAACAAAAATATTAGGACTTGAACATCTTCAAACACGACTCGAGTTATTGAAATTTTAGCATACCTCTGACCTTATAATCAATGGAATCAGATGAAAAAAAATAGTTATTCATAAGTACTACCTTAAAAAGCTGTATATATATATATGTGAAACATTACCCGTTGTGATGATTTGCTGGTCAAATCATGCTTGAGCTAGTGCTCCGGCGAAGAACTGGATCCGCTGCTGCTTCGAAGTCGAAGATGATCTATCTGCACCAGAGAATAAGAATTAAGCCAGCACAAGCTTCAACTTAGACAGGCAAGCCTTTGCTGACCTTCAGCAAGCTAGCTAGCTAGCTAGCCAGTTTCCTAAAAATAACAACAAACGTGCGTGTGCGTGATCCATACCTCCACGAGCTTGATTACAGAGGAATCCATAGGAGCAGCAGGTAAACAGATTCCTAATTCATCGGAGTTTGTCAGTACGATTCCGGCCGGAACATGCCTCGCGAGTACAGCTAGGTAGGTAGCTGCTACATGCATCAAAAGCCAAATATAATCAAGCATGGCAGTACGGGAGAAAGTACTTGAACGGCCGTCGGGAGAGTTCATTTCAAGAATGGCAGCTGGGGGATTCAAGCTTGCAGTGGCGCGCGGGAGAAAGTCTTTATATTCCACCTTTTTTTTTTAATAAATATATTTGATCTACTGTATATATAACCGAAGGAAGAGCCATTGATTAACAAAAAAAAAAAAAAATCCCTGTCCAAAATACCTGAAAGCCTTACAATCATTTACTCATTTTACAAGTTCGCCACTTGTATATATATTTGCAAATGGCGAATTCCCCGCATTAATTATGCCGTTAGTATCAGACAGTTGACTTTTGACCCAGTATTAACAGGCCTGACTCAAGGCATATATGTTATTGTTTCTATTGTTTTTGAAAGGTAGCTGAGAATTAGTATACGTATGAAAGAATTTCCATACGTGTTATTTTACTGTCATGACGCAATTAAGAATGCCGCCGTCTCTTCCTTTCTTCTTCCTTGCTGTTGCCTGTTAGTTACGTACGGGTGGGCTCTAACCAACAAAACAAAGACATTCCTTCCTTCCTTGGCTGTCCCACTACGAATAAACTAATAATGTTGTAAACAACTCATTTAAAAATTATTGTTGAGTACTGTTGATCGATATATGATTATCGAAATATTTTTGGTGTTAATTTTAATTTATATCATCCTTTCCAAAGAAAAAAGATTATCAAAATATGTATATATATGAAATGTAGGGGGGAAATTAGTGATATTGTCCGATGACATTAAATAATTGGTTTTCCTTGAACCAGTTGAACATCTTAATTACGGAAAACCATTGATTAAACTTGTATAGATCTAAACCGTTAATTTCAAGTTACTTGGGTATAATTTCAAGTTAGGTAACTTGTATAGATCTAAACCGTTAAAATCGATCAAACTTAATGTAAACCATTGATTAAAGAAATAAAAAATAAAAAAAAAATAAGTAAATAAGCAACGGCAACAATGGTTGCCGGTCACCACATCCTCAATTTACCTATTTTATTTTTTTCTTTCCTTTTTCACAATTGGTTGGTTTCCTTATTTTATCCTTTCCTTTTTTTAATTTTTATGGAATTAGAAGCGTTACGTAAGACTTCCGTAATAACTTAGTTCTTTACGTAACAGGACGCTGATATTCATTACGTAAAGAGACCTTCCATTACGTAAGGCTTCCGTAATGACATTTTACAACCG